TGTCACACTCTGAGTTTTAGGACAGTGTAATGAGCATTATTCACTATTTTGCAATTTCAAGTCCAAAGAACGATCTGATTAATCCTGAAAAATAAATGGCACATCAGTGGACAATGGAGGTAATTTTTACCGACTGTCATTAGGAGTTAGCAGCTATGATGTAGAAGCAATTATGACTGTTCTAGCAATTACTAGCTGTGTGAATGTTTTTGACAGGGTTGCTGTTTTTATGCCAGATTTTAGATTGACTAAAGTAAATCTCAGGTATTAAATTGGGAAGCATAAACGCTGGATCTTATCGTCATCACTTTAACTCTGACAACAATGTGGAAGTGCCATTAGTGGTTAGGACTATTTATAGGTTGTGGTTGACCCTAGTTTCACTGTTTGTTCCTGTGCTTTAATGTTACAGCTCAGAACGCATTCATTTCTGCCTTTCGTTTGAGTTCCCATGTTCACTTTATTACTCAGTAAGTGGTTGAAGTGTTGATTATCTTTTCATCTGCCTATACAGGACTCTCAGAACCCTGTTTGCTCTACAAACACATTTATTTATGTGCAAAAACACTTTGCACATAAGCAATAACAGGGATTTCCAGTGTAATCTGACCTGTGTGTTGACAGTGTAAAATACAGTGTAAAGACCCGGAGAGGCTGCCACATTAGTTTCATTATGATAATCCTGACACCTCTGATATACAAACAAGAGGCAGTGAGGACAAGAAATGCATGTTTAGGGAGATTGAACATTTAATAAAAGCAGAAATCATTGCCCAAACCATAAAAAACATTGGCGAAAAAACAGACCAGCGATTGGAGAGACAGAAATATTCCACATTTTGTCAATACTTGCAATTAACAACGATTTTTTTTTTTGTTATATAAAGCTGCTAAAATTTCAAGTCGACCCAGCTTTACCTCTCCTGAAACAACCTTTCACTGTGCCTATATATCAAAGATAAAGATCCAGCAAGATTACAGGCATACATAACGCGTTAAGATGGGTGTTTGTTGTACCATGCCGATAATCACATTAAACCTCCTCTTCCACCCCTGAGTGTATCTATAGGGCTTTTTTTGGCAGGAGGTCGACTGTTAGACGGCTGAATATTGCATTCCAAATTTTTCATCATTAGCGGCTTAGTGGGCATGTGAGTGCTGCACAAATAGTGTCCGTGCAGGCGATGGAGGAGAAGGAGGCGAAGGGAAAGAGAGACGGGGGGGAGTTGAACTGTGAAAGGAAAAAGTGTAGGGAGAGGATGAAGGCATGTGATGTGATCCTGTGAGAGATGAAGGGGGGAAACCAGGTCGAAGGCAGACCGGGGAATGTTTTGATAAAAACCAAATAGCATTTAGCTATTAGCTGATGTTTTGATTTATTCACTATAATGCAAAGACTGACTCCATTAACATGTCTGAGCAGTTCATATAGATTTGCAGGCAGTTAGCTTCGCGCTAAGTACAAACAGGTGGAAACCGCTAGCCTTACTCTGTCTAAAGAAAATCCACTCACCAGGATCTCTAAAGTCACTAAACTATCTGGGTCGTTCATTGTTATTTAAAAAGCTGAAACTTAACACTGTGTACAAATTCCACTTTTTTTTATACTTGATGAGTGACTACAATCATTAATCATTTAGCAAAAATAGTTTCAGATAATACCTCTTAGCTAATATTTCAGAATAACTTTGATAAATCCTTTAACCCTATAAACCCCAAAACTTGCCAGAGGGTTTGAAAGTGGTGTTATCTTAAAAAAAAAGAAAAAAAAAAGAGCCACAATAACACCATTTGTCACAGCCACATTGTCAGATGTTTAACTTTCTAGATGTTCTTGAACTATTCATCTGTGTTGTGCTGTCCCATTGGGGAAACTTAAACTCGTAGTACATCATCTACATCCCTCATTTACAAGGCCCATTTAAAAACTTACAAAAAATGAATAATTTTCTCGACCCGTTTCTGAAAGGAAAGAGAAAAATTCTGCACTCTTTGGTCTAACTGGTAAGCTTTTAGTTAGTGACTCAGCTGCAACCAACCTTCACATAACAAAAGTTCTTGGACTTTGTGACTGAACTGCAGGCTGTGTTTACACAAAGCAGAGAGGAGACAAGTATAGAAATAAATGAAAAATGTAAACAGTAAAAATACCTACAGTAAGTACAGAGAGCTTTTTCCCATCTCGGTAACACTTGTGGACACTTACTAAATACTGAGCATTTTATTGCCAGAGTTTTTTTCAATTATTGTAAAATAAAGAATCCAAGAAATGTTACTTTTCTCTTTACGTGTTCCGCTGTTTCTATTGTAGGACTTTATATTGCAGTGAAAAATGAGCCCACAGTGAGAGAAAATGTGACAGGAGCAAATAAAACCACCCAGAAACTGCCTGGGGTTCAGAGGATAACGCTCTAAAATAGAAAGGGATCAATTTCTTCATTCATTTTACCGTAGAAATCACAGGGAAGAGGCAGTTTAACATTCAGTTTAACATAAGCAACTTATCTTTGACGTTCTGATCTAGTAAACCTATTTCCAGCATCCAGCTCTCTTACCAGGTCAAAGCATGATGCCCAGAGTATTTGGAAAATACTGATTGACCCAGTCCTGCTTGGATAGATGCGAAGGAGAGCGTTTCCCAGGGAGCCAGTGAAAAGATGGTATAAGGGGTTTAGGGAGGTCAGTTGGTCCATCGCTGTGGCCCAGTTCCTCACATGAAACCCTTGTTCCTTGTTTGGGAGAAATGTGCTAATCCCCATGGACTCACTCTGGGCCCCAGCCAGGCTTTGAAGACAAAAAGAGCCAAAAAAATCGGCTTTTGTTCTTCAAACAGGCTTTTGTACTCCTAACCTCTCTCAGAGCTTGTGTTTTACAGAGCGGTTATGATCCATTGTATAATCGTTGCTGGTATGACACGGTTTCCTCCGGAGGCATTGTATAGTAGAAGATACATACTCAGTGGCCTTATCAACTATGTGGTCCTTGAACTTGTAGGTTTGATACTGTTTGCCTTGGGCGTTTTTTTTTTTATTGGACAAGCAGTGTGATAAATAGAGTAGAGGAGGGATCCAACCCTGCGTGGGCCTTCTGATACCTGATACCGAAGGCTGTGTGTGTGTGTCAAGCAGCAGGATTTGGAAAAAGAGCACATGATGTAGGCAGTCAGATGATAAAGCTATACCTTACGTAAGAAACCCCCTCAGTCAGTAAATAGCATCAACTGAGGGAAGGCCATAGAGTCTAAGTGCACCGTAGCCCTCCAGTCTCTAATTTAATCTTTCTGATGTCAGTGAAGTGTTTCATTGCCTTGTCCTTAATTGAACTACAGCTTGGCACCATTCGCAATTAAAGTTGTAATCCTCAAGATTTCAGTCCTGGCTGATTTGGCAAAACTGTGACTGGACAGAACAGCAAATGCTGTTTAATGCTGCATAATTTAAAGCAGTATGTTTAAAATCAGTGACGATGGTGCACACGTTCATAGACTCCTACCAAGGAGATGTTGATAGTGTTGCACTGGGTTGTACACATGGAGTAACAAGACCTAGAAAGACAGATATAATGCCCGCCTCCTCTCTCACCTCCACACATCAGTCACAGCGTAAAGTGGGTGCGAATACGTCTGTGTAGATTCTCAGTCATCCAGGTCATGATAATCCTTCAGTAAAAAAAAAAAAACAACCAAACTTCTCTTTTAGGTTCTTGACAACGTTTCACCTCTCGTCCAAGAGGCTTGTTGAGGATAAAAGGTGAAACGTAGTCCAGAACCTGAAAGAGAAGCTTTTTACTGAAGCGCTGAAGATTAGGTGCAAATATGTGATTCAGAAAGTTACAAATAGTGCGTGATACAGATGCCACCTACCTAATATTTGATTGTTGTGGGGGGAAGAGGCTTCTGACGCAATCCCAGCATCCAACATGCACTCTGAACGGAGTATAAACTCTGCCCAACTGGTGCGTTTATTTACAATGCAGCCAAAAAAACTCTTTCTGAAAACTACATGTGACAAACTGGCATTTTCCAGTGACTTGTGGGGTTAGTGTAAAATGCATGACATACTTTTAAACTTGAAAACATCCTACATTTTTAATAACACATAAAACAGGATGCCTAACCACCTAAAGTCATCACTACTTCAAGCTAAAGGACAAAATACACGACACACGTTTAGGAATATTCTCCTTCAAAAACATCAATTTCAGCAAAGGACTTTTCTTTCTTTTATTTTAATCTTGTGTGAACAAATGTGCCAGTCAAATGTGGAGCCAGTGATTCTGGGGAAAGATTGTTGATATTTTGCTCGTTAGCATATTTAGACAGTTGGTATGAGCCACATTTATTGGATCTCTTCCTCCAAATGCCTCCCTTTCCTCCCATCTTCTCTCCCCTTCGCTTTTCACATTTTCTCGCTAGATAAGTTATTCTTATTTGTTTCCAACTTACAGAGCCAGGAGTGTGTACAAACACCAGATTTTTTTATGCAGACTTTGAGGACATAATCGATAATTTTTCCAAAAAATCATATTGAATCAGAATCACACACTCCACTTTTGATAATAGCTGCAACCAGATACTGATTTCATGCTGCACGACGTGTGAATCATTTTCCACACAGCAGCACTGCAAGATCTGCAAAAAATATCTCACTCTGACTCAGTTTTTTAAATTTAACACTCCTTGCCATATTGAAAACTGATTTTTTTGGCCAAATCCTAAAAATGACTGATAAATAGTCGTGCGAATACATTTTGTTTTCTGCAGCCTCTTTACAAGGAGAGCTACTTACATGCATGCATACGATCCCTCATCTGTCTCTGAACCGAATGACCGTAGCAGAAAAAAGGGGTTTGATTGAATCTTAAGTTTTAAAGCTATGAGAGTTGACATGATGTATCCCGTGACCTGTGTGGCACTTTCCTAAATCTTTCTCTGCTTTTCCCTCAGATCTGCACCTTACTACTAAAGACTTAAAATCTGTGTAAAACCAAGAGGACCAAGGATGGTGACCATGGAAACCCCAGAGGCTCCAGTTCCTCTGACGGCGTTGTCGCGCTGGTACCTCTACGCCATCCACGGCTACTTCTGTGAGGTGATGTTCACCGCGGCCTGGGAGTTTGTGGTCAACTGCAACTGGAAGTTCCCCGGCGTGACCAGCGTGTGGGCGCTCTTCATCTACGGCACCTGCATCCTCATCGTGGAGCGGATGTACCTGAAGCTGCGCGGCCGCTGCCCCGTGCTGCTGCGCTGCATCATCTACACGCTATGGACATACCTGTGGGAGTTTGGCACGGGGCTGCTGCTGCGCCAGTTCAACGCCTGCCCCTGGGACTACTCCGAGTTCCGCTACAACTTCATGGGACTGATCACGGCCGAGTACGCTGTGCCCTGGTTCTGCGCTTCCTTCATCGTGGAGCGCTTGGTCATCCGCAAAACGCTGCGGCTGCGCTTCCACGAGGGTCCCGAGGACGGCTGGTCAAACCACCGGTCAGATGCTGGGGGCGGAGGAGGGTCCGCAGGAACTTTGGGGGGTGGGAGGAGACGAGAGAGGAGCAGAGGGACGGGAAATAATGCTAACGGCTACCTTAAAGGGGAATGAGTCAGGACACAATCTGAAACCAGCCCAATCACTCTGCTACACCTCTTCGACCCTCCTCAGCCATCTTTCATAAGCAGTCCTCCCACTTAACTGTATGGGGAGAGGACAGACAGCTACGTAGACTGGGCTGGTGTGCAGAGGTGTAAAGAGTATCAGAACAGCCAGAAAACGAACACCTAAATGGGCCTTCAAATGCCCAAATCACTCACTGTGTCCTCTACTGTTAACACAGGGGCGCAGTAACTCCATGCTGCTGTGTTTGCTGCATTTCATAACGCACCCACCCATTTCCATGTGGGGTTGACCTTAAGGAAATCAGGGTCTTAAATGACCAGGATTACACTTTCTCAATCTCTCCTGTCCCACAGGACAAGAACTTGGGATAAAATAAAAAAAATAAAAAAATAAAAAACTACTATTGCAAAGATTAGCGTTATTGTCCTGTGACGGGACTAATTCAAGAACAAGAACAGTATTTGTTTGTCAAGGGCACATCAGTCTATATGAAAGCAGAATGCTTGCTGCGTAGAAATCACGATTAAAAAGTAGCTGCATTAGTGAAATGTCCTTTTTAAAATGTACATATTGTCCTTTAGTATTATTCAAAGTACTGTAGTAATGTAGCTACAAAAGGAGCATACTGTCCACCCAGAAGCAATGCGCCGTGTGTCAGCTTACGTCATCAAGAATGTTTTCTGCATTTAGTGAATACCCACAATGCCTGAAAAAAATGCATGGAAAAAAATTTGTCTTCCAATATAATCGACATTTTTACAGAGCTCATTCGGCAGCCATAACGTATGTCTCTTGAATCGGCCTGCTGCTTGTGTGTAGAGAAGCTCAGGAGGTCGAGCCGGTCCGCCAGTTATCAGGGTCGATTGGTTTTCCTCCTTCTGACAAGCATGTCGAAGTGTCCTTGAGCAAGACATCGAAACCCCAAAAACTGCTCCCGGTTGAGCAGGTCATGGCCTTGCATGGCAGCTTCTCCGCCATCGGTGCGCGAATGGATTGTATGCGTGTGTGTTTGTGCGCAGGCTAATGTGAGAGCTCGAAATAAATCCAGTCCATTTGCCATAATAGCAGGGACGCCTTTCTGTTGATGGTCATGATCATGAGTCATGACCATCAGCATAAAGCACCAAACCTCTTAGTAATTTCCTTTTTGCAGTTTTTTCAAAAAGCCTCTTCATGACTCACCGTCTGCATGTCCATTTAGTGTGCTTTAATGTCGTCTCAGATATGCCAAGGTCACATAAGCCTCGTTTCTTAATTCTCATTCACTGAAAGTCGGTAGTCATTCCTGTCAAATCACACAATTTATCTATGGAACATGTGTTTTGTTTTTTTTTCTTGAGCAAATGGTGTCTGTACTTTTTTTCCCCCATTTTTTTTCCTTTGGCTGTGAAAGTGTTGCCACACAATCAACAACAAAAAAAAGAAAAGCGTCTGACAGCAGTAGCTATTTATGAGTGACAGCTGGATGAAAAGTAGCCAAGGCTTGCAGATCAGGGTTTTTTTGACTTGAAAAACACATTTTCACATGAACAAACGTCACATTCACAGGGCACATTTTGTCCACGAGAGCATATTTTCTAAAGGTTATTGACCCTTTCCCATCACCCTTCTTCTTTGTGTTTGGTTTGACAAATATGTGAAGTGAAGGGGAGGAAATGTGCGGCAGATTTCGGTGATAATTTATTGAAGAATCCCTCACATTTCAGCTGAAATGGAATTTGCTGCTCGTTTTTTTTTTTTTCCTCCACTAATGGTCTGTAAGTTATAAATGATTTGTGTGTCTTGCTGAATAATGATCTCTATGTGTTACAGTGGATTTTTTTGTCATGTCAGACAGACTGAATAGGACAAAAAGTGGTGTAAAAATGCTTAAAACCAACTCAGAAATTTTCACATTTCAGGTAGTGTTAGGTTAACTCTTAACTTGACAGCACTCTTGTCTTACATGGGAACATCCAGACTGGTACTTCAAGCTACTGATACACACAGATGAATGCTTATTCTAGTGTTGTTAGTCATTCTATTCTGGGGGTAGAGAAATCAAGGACTATACACCTGCCTCCATATGCATCCAGGAGCCGACAGTAATGTATGATAGTGGAAGGATGCGGTGCTACTTGTTAGTATAAAAAAATCCGGACACATCTGTCTCTACGTTGGCTCCAAGGTACCAGACGACACATGAAATGGAAATATGTTTGCTGGAAAAGTATTCCCCGGGAGGACCGTTTGTGTTGTTGACTCCATCAAAACATGTTGACGGTAGAAGAACTTTCACAATTAATAGATAACTGCAAAAAAAACACACCTAATATTTCCCCATGTTTCCACAACACCGCTGGACTGTGTAAATGTGTGACCTTCATCGGTGCGGCTGCGATGAGTTGCAGTGTTTCCCCCCGACTGTCTCCCTGCAGGTTCAGCTGGTCAACATCACAGATGAAGTGGCGCCCCCCAGTGGAGGATTTCAAAAATTGAAAACATGTTTTATTAAGCTTGGACAACAAATATGAAGTATACAACAAACCCATGAAGATCAACAAAACCGAAGACATTTTGTGTTGTTTTTTTTTCCCTATCATATTATATTTAAGTTATATTTTTTAGTATGCATATGATTTTTATTTTTTTTTTCATACATGAACCAACAGGCTTAAAAGCAATAGAGGCTTCGGACCCCGCAATGATTACATTTAACTCTAAAAATCCAGAACTGGTATGCAGCTAATGTCTTTATCAATTCTACCGCTTTGATGGAACAAATCAAAAGAACATGCAAAACTAAGTGTATTCTCTGCAATATGTGAGTGAAGGAGTTTTAGATGAGTGTGTATAGCGTGTTGTACAGAGACACCACAGTCTCTGTATGTGTATGTGCATGTATAGTATGTTACAACTCAACTGATTCTCTGGTATTTCTACCTTGAGTGTGCATGTCCAAAACTTTCTTCCTCCAAACTCTTGATTTTATCCCGATGATTAATAGCCCCCCAGGTACTGTAATGGTTGCTTAATTTTATTTTTATTTTTAAATAAAAATGTACAGGTTTTTAGTGAACTGACTGTACTGTATATCACTCACTTTGATTATGTTTGTGTATGATTTATCAATCTTTGGGATTAAATGTATTTATTTGATCATAAAATATATGTGTGTTCGGAAGCCTTTTTATTTCTGTCTTCAACCTACACATTGTCTCTTCCAGGTTCTAATTTTTTTCTGTTATGCAAGATATATCTGGCATTATATATATATATATCTATATTATGCAATACTTAAATTACTCCAGCTCACCAACATTTAAAAAAAAAAAAGACAGTTTTATATTTGATAGAAGAATTAATTCCTAATTTTATCTAAGCCAAAAAAAAAAATCTCACAGAATTGATAGCTTCTTTATATAACATAATTACACCTTGATTTTTTTTCATTTCGGAAAATATATCGGCTTTTATAATGAAACAGTCCGAACTGCCGCCGATGTAGCTTGTGTGTGATTTGACTTTTTAAAACAGGCGATTTAAAGTTTTAAGGACACCGAAACAATCGTGACAACATCAGTGAGTATGACTAAATTACTCTATGGAGTTAAAAACATTGTGGTTTAATAAACAGAAAAGATAAATACGTTTGTAGAGAGAAAAATACCCTTTTGTCTTAACTGGACGTATGAGGCTCAAACTGGCTACACTGCAGCTAACGTTAGCTGTCACTAGCTTACCAGCTAACTGTAGCTGTGGCTCAACTGTTACCATATTAGCAACTCATTAGCTACACAGCTAGCTAACGCTAACTTTATAGCTAACTGCGAGTCAACTGTATACGTTGAACTATTGCCACAAAATAGCATCGTTAACTAGGTAGGATAGACTAAGCTGTGCAAGTTTCAAAATGTTATTGAGAAAATAGATGGCATTTATTGAACAAATATGACGTAGGGGTGTTAAAAGACTAAAGACTAAAGTACAGTGCTAGCGAAGATAGCGTCTCCGTGATGTACAAGCCGCGTTACTTTGAGCTAAATGCTAACGTTAGCATGCTAACTCACGGTAACACATGATAGCATTAGAAAATGCTAATTAGCAAAAACAAGCACAACTGCGACTGCTGGGCATATCATTGGTTTTGAAGCTGGTAAGAGTAAACATTGAAATAACTTTATATAACTAAACAAATCAAACTTTTAACATGGTGGTGAAGCGAGAAAATTTTCACAGGGGTTGTCGGGCTGTGACCATGAGTCACATCTGGAGTTTACATGACTTCATTTCCTTTCCCCCAAATCCCTGGAGGCTCATGTTTTTGGTCACTCATTCTTATCATTTGCTTCTGCAGGCAAGCTTGTAGAAGTACAAGACAGCTACCGTACTGTATAATAAGCCTTTTTATGTAACTCAGTTGATTCAAAATGTGGAACAGTTGGTGGAGTTTTGCTTTGTAATTGTTCACAAAGATTGTTAGAATTGACATTACATAAGTGACGTACAGTCAGACAGTGAGGACACCCACCTCGCTGAGACGTCACACCATGTCCATCTGGTCTTTGTTTTCCTTCTTTTGGCTGCGGGTTCTGAGTCAGCCATGCATTGTTCAGCAGTTTACACCACTTGTTTGCAGAAGCTATTCAAAGTAGGTTTCATGCCCACATAGTCTGTATTAGAGCTTTAAATAAATCCACAGCTAAACCTAAATCACACACACTTTAACTAGGAAAGACCGATTATTATTTATTTACATACCAAACAGATGAATCTTCACACTGTCTGCTCACGTTTTCATTGACAATAATACCACATCTTTGAATTTCTACTAAATCTGAGTAAACATTTTGTAGTTGCGCTTAACTGGTTGGTTGTAGGTGGTTGAATGGGGGGTGGTTGGAGAAATGGATTTGAAAAAAACCCTAGAAAGATGATATTGAACCACTTTCCATGCCGGCCCATCTGATAGTTAAGGCATATATCGCTGTCGTAAAAGTGTTTTGTTTTATCGTGCATGTAATCGTCAGGAATTCTCTCAAATAAAAGTCTCAGTTAGAGAGAGAGAGCAGCTGCCTCTTCTTTCTTGATACTGACTACATGAAGACATACCTGACTAGCTGTGGATACTGTAGTATTTTTTATTTTTATTGCCATGTAAAACTGACATAATCAACCTCAGTTCCTGTCCTAAGCTGCAGTACACTAACATGACCACATGATGGCTCTTTTTCACCAGTAAAGACAACCGGCTTCAGGCACAGGTTGGTCCTGAGTCATCAGTCTGCATTTGAAGATTAGTTTGCAAGAGCAGGTTGTTTTTATGACTGGGCTTTCCAAGCAACAGAACAAAGATTGGCTTAAAATATAACTCTGTAAGCTGCGCAGTTGTAAGGTTCTTTATGAACCAATATAACCCTCATCCCAGTCAATACGAAGACTGAGCTCCGCTTTGTTTTTAACTGGTCATGCATTTTTTTTTTTTACTGCCTGTGAGTTCAGCATTATATAAGTGTCATAAAAAAATCTCGTTTGTTTATGTATATAATGCTGCAGTGACAGATTTCTGTTCGCTTGTAAAGGCGGTCTCATGAAAAAAATGTTTCCACCACCCTTTCTGGCTGCCACACCTTGCACCAGATAGTGGGAATCTGGGTCATTATCGTGTCTTGTCAAATCTGTAAATTGGCTACGAGTCCCCTGCGGCCCCGGGGCCCTCAACCAGAGCAGTGCCTGCTTACCTGTGGGAGGGTGTGTCCACTTCACACACATTCTGTTGCACTAATGGCATGAGGCTGCGGTGGCCCGGCCTTGTTCCACAGTGTCAGCAGGTGGCTTCATCGCACTTCCTCCAATCAGTCACTCCAACTCCAAATATGGAGATTTCACAACCTGTAATCGGCGCGCCGCAGATGACAAGTGTCTTGTCCCCGAGGCAAATTGCAAGGGCCTGTTTTGTGAGTGTGTTGCGTTGCTCACGTGTGCACGCCGCGCTGTGTGTTAAGCTTGAGTTTCAGCAGCCTTTTCTTGTGTGACTTCATTGTTCTCTGCGTCAGGGTTAGAGTTTGATTAACAGGAAGTAGGAATGGATTAAAGTCCAAGGGATTAATGTAGAATATCCTCAACAGCATCAAGT